AATGTAATGACTTGCTGCTTGCTGCCGTATCTGTCTGCGGGGTTGTACACTACGGTGGGGTTTTGCCTGCTGAGTTTGTGGCATGTTTGTTACTGTGTGTTTTCTTTGTGGTCGCACTGAGGGCTGTCCGCTGCTCTAAAAATAKAATASAATTAACAGCGGTAGAGTTTGAGTGTTTGCAGGCCCTAAGGTGCACTGCGCCCTAAGTGTTGTAGGACTGCTGTAGAGGCCGGGTAGGCCCTTAGGGCAACGGTACCGGTAGTAGTTTCGGTCCAGTAGGTTAGGCCGAAAACTATAGGTAGGGTAGGACCGATAGTTAGGGACTTTTGGCTTTTCMTTTTTCGCGTGCAGCGTTGGTGGCCAACCATGTTGTGCAGCGCTGAATGCCTACAGCGGCACCTGAGACATCAGCGCAGTGGAGCAGCCATAGCCAGCCTTCTGAGACAGCCATAGCTGGGGCTGTACTCAGCGCATCTATCCCCAGGGGATATCTGCGCTGGCAGGACTATATYGGAGGTCTTYACTCARTACATGTGGGTACTATTGCTGCGGTAGCAGCTAGGCAGCYATRGCTGCCTTCTTCATCGTCAGAGTGACTCCTCGGCACTGGAGACTACTTCGCTGTTCATGATCTGCATCTGGGTGGATGGCGCTGGCCTCTGGGAGGCTGATGTTGTGCAGCGCTAGACTCTGAGAGTGTAGTAGTGAGTGGAGTGTGTGGTACTTGAGTGGCGAGACACTGGGTTRAACTCTGTAACGATTATTGGGGTTAACGGTGTTGAGTTGGCTCATCATCTGAGACACTTTCCGATTGTGATCTTCGCAGTTTCAATTGTGATTGGTTGTTGGGAGTTTATCAGAGAGAGAGAACACTGGGTGTGAATTCTCCCCATCTGTGCATGGTTGTTATTCCGCTGTTTATCTCCGGTGTGTGTGCAGGTGGACTCTGTCTCTTCCTCCCCCCTGACTTGTCCATGTATGGGCATGTGTAAGTTCTGTTGTGTGTGAGTGGCAATCCAATTGTCAAACAACCCAGTTCATAACAATTGGTATCGGAGCCAAGATTGGAATTGGAGCTCAAAGGGTTGAGCGCAACAGGGGCACCTTCTTCATCTGGCACTAACTGGCGAGAAGATCCATGGTGGTTCTCCATCTCCAGTGATTATTCACTAGGGAAGAAGGGATACAAGCGGTGATTGCAGGAACATCATCTGCGATTGATCAGGCACCCTGAGCCTGTCTGAGTGCCTGACAGGAAGTGGCGAGAATAGGGTTATTTCGCCATCCACCCTCCTGACCTCAGTTGAAGACTGGGTCTAGGGTGGCGAAAATTACCCTAATCCAGTGATTACTGGGTGGCGGTTTCAATCCCAGCATAGTGCTGAGGGAGTATAGATCACAGGATCCCCTCCTGCTAAATTAACCCTACTCAGGGCTAAATTTAGCACCAGCGACACATACCCTGCAGTGGCGAGATATCTTCAGGAAAGTTTTCTCTCGCCACACTGGGGCAGATTCAGTGGATCTAAGAGTTGGGGGTGAATCGCCTCAGCATACTGGACATGATCAACAAGTTTCAGGAGATTCTGTACGTGGGAAGCTCTGGAAGACTGTCTGCAAGTACTGGCGAGACCAGGGTTTGGCAGCCATAGCCAAAGCTTCATCATCCACTGAGGGCTGTACTTCAAGTGAGTTCGTTCCATACGAATCCCTGAGTAGCGATTAGTATAGAATTAGTAAAGATAGGATTGATGGTCTGTCTGACAGTACTGCAACAATCGAGAAATTGTCAGACTGCAAGACAGCCATGTCCATCTTCTTCCTCCCTACCCTGACTCATATCTCTCCATCTACTGACATGTTCGGACTCCAAATTGTTATGGGACTGCTTTACATTATTGCGCTGCATCCTGTATGGTCATTCTGTGAATTTTGTACTGAAAAGACAGTGATACTGTAGATTTGAGTTTTGCGCTGAGCCTATTTATAGTCTAGGCTACCTAGGGTCAGTCACAACTCAAAATATGACCGTCAGAATTCAAGTATGTCAGTCTGGGGTGAATCGCAATTCTATTTTTAGCAACCCTGCTAAAGCGCTAGTCCAGAAACGCTGTATTTGGGTCATTACAGTACATTCCTGAAATTCGCCATATCTGGGGTGATTTCTGTTGATGTCAACACTGGCGAAATTTGAGTTTGGGGTTGTCAGGGAGTAGGCTACTAAATCGCTACTACCTGTTGCTGTGTTTCAGTCAATTCTTGCCTACCCTTACCAATACTACTAATCTACGCTGCTTTCTGATGGGCTCTGGAATACTAGTGACCCCTGGAATGTTGTGAAACTGCATGTTGCAACTTCAGTAAAAGTGCAGTGTCAGGTATAGGAAATCGTTAGTGAATGGTTTTACTGGACACCCTATCAACCTGATTACTGACCCCAGTGGTCCTATTCCAACCCTAAGTGCTTGTGCCCACTAACCCACATTGCTCTGTGAACTGACAGTGCAGCGAAATTTGAGTGTCTGTGTGATCTGTAAATCGCTGCACCCCCTGCTGTTTCATTTTTGTTTTATTGTTGTCTGTGAGGGAAAATGTCTGACGCAGCTGACACACGTGCAGGGAAGGTTGAGGTCGTGATTAAGGCTGAAGGGGAACCCTCAGCCACAACACCACCTCCCCCTCCTCTGACCCCTGCGCAGCGGCGCAAGAGAGAGATCCAGGAAAAGCTGCGAGAGCAACAGGCGCTGCTCGCAGAAGCCGACAGACAGGAGGCTGCTGAACTAGAAGCTGCAACAGATGCTTCCAGAAAAGAACATCTGCTGCAGCAGGCCCAGAGGACTGTTGCAGATACTAGAGTGGCCCAGTGTACAAGGGACCTGGCTGAGCTAGTCCTCCTGCAGGACAAGCTGACCGCCGACCACTTTACAAAMTGGGATGAGAGGATCCAGAGGCTGGAGACCAGAGTGGCGGATCTGGGAACTCAGCAGTCAAAGATCCTGGATGCTATCCAGAATCTGACTGCTCAGTTAACAGCAGCCAATGTCATCAGTCCCCTGGTCCCTGTGGTCCCCACTCTAAAACCTAAACAGCCTTCTCAGCCCTCTTCCCCACCTCCTTCATCCTTTGGATCTCCACACTCTTCGCGCAAGGCTTCTCCCTCTGTCTCCTCCCAGGCCAAAGCCACACCTCCTCCCACCTTTGCTGTTGTTGTTGCTGGGGACAATAGAGGTCCCAAGATTCCGGCCCCCAACAAATTCAAGGGGGATGACCCCAAGATTGATGTGGGGGACTGGACTGCTGGAACCCGGGGCTATCTGAAGGGGTTCCAGTGCCCAAAGCAGCAAAAAGTGGCCACGGTTGTGGGTCTGCTGGAGGGGCCTGCCCAGAAATGGGCTACCTCTACAGCAAGTGCCCAGCAGCAGACTTTGGAGGACTGGGCATTGGCATTGGGGGCTGACAAACTTTTGCAGGCCCTGGAAGATCGCTTTGCAGACAAAGAGAGAGCACGCAAGGCTGCTGACCGGATCGTACGCCTGGGCCAGCAGTGATATAGCGGCAGTCTGCAGGCGCTGTTCACTGAGTTTGAACAGCTGACTTCCACCCCTGGATTGGTTATGTCTGCAGACGACTTGTTGACTAACTTTTGCAGGGATGTGCCTGAAAAGTTTTGTGTTGCTTTGTATAGCGTCGGGCACAAAGACTGGCGCTCATTTGGACGCGCAGCACTGGACATGGAAGCCAAGCTTCATGTCCAGACCCCCTCCAATGACAGGAGGAGAGGCGCCTTCCCTCGCGGTGGTAGAAAGGGAAAGGCGGCCTTTACCTATGCGGGTTCTGGGACATAATCTGATGCAGGATCCCGGCCTGGTACACCGCCAGGTGGGACTGCAGAAGCTGCTGTTCCAGATGTTGCAGCAGTGCTCCAACAGCTGCAGGCTGCGCTCGGGGCCTTCCAAAAGGCTGGATCTGCCTCCAGCACAGCCTCCAGCAGCAAGGGGAAGAGCCAGGGACGTCGCTCTTCAACCCCTGCCCGACGCCCTGATCTGCCACGCAACGTCCACTTCCCAGCAGACCCTCTAAGCCCCAACACTCTCCCATGGCACGATCTGAAGATCCAGGAGGGAGTGTGGAGGAAGAGGAAGGAGAGAGGTGTCTGCTTGAGGTGTGAGGGACAACACTTCTTGAAGGACTGTCCCTACATGCCAAGCCCAGCTCAGTCAAAAAACTGAAGCTGAACCTGGAGACAACAATTCCCTCCAGTGCTGCAACTGCATCAGCAGCTGCAACAGCTTCAGTTGAGACTTCCTCTTTCCCATCCAGCGTGGGAGCTGCGCGGGCAGCATCCTTTACCTATGAGGATCCTGACCCGGATCAGGAACCGGACCAGTCTGAGTGTCAGGCTCTTGCTGCTTTTTTCTTTCATTTGAAAAAACAAAAGCAGAACAAGTCTGATCTCATCCTGCATCGTCCCCTGATCAACCATCGCAGGATCAAAGGGCTATTAGACTGTGGAGCCACTCGCAACGTCATGTCTCCCAGTGCAATCCAAAAACTGCATCTGGGTCTCAAAGTGGTGCAGCTGCAGCAACCGCTGCGGGTCCGCATAAGGGACTCCACTGTTCTGACCATCAGGGAGAAGGTCAGGGGCAGCCCTGTTACCTTCGACAGTGCGGGAGAAGTCTGACATAGTCTGAACTTCTACATTTTCCCTGACCTCCCCTTTGACCTTGTGTTCTCTATGCAGTGGCTGAGAGCAGTCAACCCAAGGATCGACTGGCAGATCCCCAAGGTTGAACTGCCAAACAGCAAAGGGGTATATCAGCCTTGTATGCTTGCAATTGATTACCACCCTCAGACATCTTGCTTCTGCTTGAGAGCAAGAGAGTTTTATGCTCTCTCTCGCCAGTATGATCATGAGCGTCTGTTCATCGCTCTGGTCAAGCAGACAGACGCTCCTCCTACCCCCTGTCCTCCGGAGATACAGCAGGTTGTGAACCAGTATGCTGATCTGATGCAGGAGCCCTTTGGGTTACCCAACCGGCCAACCAAGCATCGTATTGAGCTGTTGCCTGGGGCGGTCCCTCCCAAGGGCCGCATCTACAGGATGTCACCTGCTGAGCTCGAGGAGCTCAGGTGACAACTTGAGACCCTGACCAGCAAGGGCTGGATCAGACCCAACACTTCTGAATTCGGTGCTCCAGTCCTCTTTGTTCCAAAGGGGAGTGGTGAGTTCAGAATGTGCATAGACTACAGGGGTCTCAACAAGATCACTAGAAAAAGCACAGAGCCACTTCCTAGGATCGACGACCTTCTGGATATGGTCCAGGGCTGCACCATTTTCAGCAAAGTCGACCTCAAATCTGGCTATCACCAGATTGAGATGGCAGAGGAGGACGTCCATAAGACGGCCTTCAAAACCAGGTATGGTACGTATGAGTACCTGGTGATGCCATTCGGACTTTGCAATGCACCTGGTACATTCCAGACTGAGATGCACCGCATATTCAGGCCGTACCTGGACAAGTTCATGGTTGTTTACCTGGATGACATCCTGGTATTCAGCAGGACTGCCAGGGAACATGCGGAGCACTTGACTCTGATTCTTCAGGCATTGCGTGACAGCCAGTATAAGATCAACAAGGAGAAGTCCTCTTTTGGAGTTCCCTCTGTTATCTACCTGGGTCACGTGATTTCTGGAGATGGGCTGGCCCCTGAAGCAGCCAAGATTGCTGCTATTCAGGATTGGCCACAGCCCCAGACAGTGAGAGATGTCCGGTCATTCTTGGGTCTGGCCTCCTACTACAGAAAGTTCGTCAGGAACTTTTCTGCAGTGGCTGCACCCCTAACTAACCTCACCAAGAAAGACACTCCCTTTCTTTGGTCCCTCCACTGTCAGATGGCCTTTGCACGACTCAAACAGGCCTTGATTCGTGCACCTGTTATGAAGTTGCCTGACCCCACTCTGCCTTTTGTACTGACTACTGATGCTAGCCAGTATGGCATTGGGGCAATCCTTCAGCAGGATGATGGGAATGGTCTGAGACCTGTAGAGTTTATGAGTAAGAAGATCAAGACTCAAAAGCTGCAGGACTCCACCTACGAGAAAGAGCTTTACGCTCTTGTAAGTGCCCTGAAACTTTGGAAACACTTTCTCCTGGGCAGGCACTTCAAGATCTTTTCTGATCATTCCACTTTGCAGTGGTTGAAGTCCCAGGGAGAGTTAAATGATAAGTTGGCATGTTACATTCAGTTCATTGATCTATTTGACTTTGAACTGAAGCACAAGAAGGGCTGCTACAATAAGGTAGTTGACGCCCTCTCTCGTAGGCATGACTCTTTTGCGCTGATCTCCTCTACTCATTCTTTTGGAGAGGAGGTCCGTCAGACCATTGCTCGTTCACTGCCTCAGGATCCGACTTATGGACCCATCGTCAAGAATCTGCAAGCAGATCCCAACTCTGAACCTGGCTATGTCCTGAGTTCAGATCTGCTGTATACTTACAGCAGAGGAGAGGAGCGCTTGTGCATCCCTGAGGATCAGCAGATGCTCACACTGCTAATGTCAGAGTGCCACGACGCACGTGGACACTTTGGGTTCCTAAAGTCGTATGCAGCCCTGTCGCAACGCTTCTTCTGGAAGGAGATGCGGAGTGATATGCTGCGTTATGTGGATACCTGTGAGCTCTGCCAAAGGAACAAGGTTCAGTGTAAACCTCCTTTGGGACTGCTCAAACCTTTGCCCATACCTGATGGTCCTGCCCAGTCTGTGTCTATTGACTTCACAGACTTAGGCAAGACTACCCCTCGTGGCATGCGTCAGGTCATGGTCTGCGTGGACAGGTTCTCCAAATACGCAGAGTTCATCCCCTTGCCCGAGGTAGCCAGGGTACCGGCTGTGAGAGAAGCCTTTCTGAGAGGTGGGTCACCCACCATGGACCGCCCACTTCTATTGTGAGTGATCGAGACCCCAGATTCTGCAGCGATGAGTGGCAGTCCTACTGCAAGGACTATCTGCACTCACGCCTGGACATGACTTCTGGTCGTCATCCTGAAGCCAATGGACTGGCTGAAGTGATGAACCAGGTCCTGTTCCAGTTGCTACGTCCTGTGATCTCTCCTGATCAACAGGACTGGGATCTCCACTTGGCAAGGGCACAACTCATGTATAACATGTCTGTCCACTCCTCGACAGGGTTCAGTCCCTACCGGTTACATTGGGGACGTGAACCATGACAACCTCTCGATGACATCATCGATAAGGCTAAGCCTGACCTTACCCCAGGCACTACAGAGTTTGCCAGACGCTATCGTCTAGATGTGGAAAGAGCCCGGGCGAACTTCTTCAAGGCCCAAAAGGCCATGATTGAACAAGCCAACCGCCACAGGCGGCCTTCCCCCATCCGCACTGGTGACTATGTCTGGGTGGCCAGTTCTGAGTTGTCGAGGGAGGAGGATATTTCTCCTAAGCTGTTGCCGCGCTACCTGGGTCCGTGGCAGGTCCTAGATACAGTGGGCGCTGATCCCTTCGGTCCGTCGTATGTCATCAACGTCCCGCTGCATCTACGCACCTATCCGGTCTTCCATGCATCTAAGCTGTTGCCTTTCACGCCAGCTGATGCATTCCCTGACCGGCCTCCTCAATGGGGCCCACCAATCCCTGGTAAGAGATATGACGTGGTGGCCATTGAGGACGAGTGGGGCACAGGCCCCGATCGGCAGTATCTTGTCAGGTTCGCTTTTCAGCCTCCTTCTAAGAACCAATGGTTCTACAGGAGAGACCTGATAAAGACAGCCAAGTCAGTTGTTTTGAGATATGAGGCGGCTCAGAAGGGTAATCTCCCTCGCCGATCTCCTCGTCTCCACCCTTAGCTCGGAGGTCCTCGCTCCCCGGGGGGGTAAGAATGTAATGACTTGCTGCTTGCTGCCGTATCTGTCTGCGGGGTTGTACACTACGGTGGGGTTTTGCCTGCTGAGTTTGTGGCATGTTTGTTACTGNAATGTAATGACTTGCTGCTTGCTGCCGTATCTGTCTGCGGGGTTGTACACTACGGTGGGGTTTTGCCTGCTGAGTTTGTGGCATGTTTGTTACTGTGTGTTTTCTTTGTGGTCGCACTGAGGGCTGTCCGCTGCTCTAAAAATAKAATASAATTAACAGCGGTAGAGTTTGAGTGTTTGCAGGCCCTAAGGTGCACTGCGCCCTAAGTGTTGTAGGACTGCTGTAGAGGCCGGGTAGGCCCTTAGGGCAACGGTACCGGTAGTAGTTTCGGTCCAGTAGGTTAGGCCGAAAACTATAGGTAGGGTAGGACCGATAGTTAGGGACTTTTGGCTTTTCMTTTTTCGCGTGCAGCGTTGGTGGCCAACCATGTTGTGCAGCGCTGAATGCCTACAGCGGCACCTGAGACATCAGCGCAGTGGAGCAGCCATAGCCAGCCTTCTGAGACAGCCATAGCTGGGGCTGTACTCAGCGCATCTATCCCCAGGGGATATCTGCGCTGGCAGGACTATATYGGAGGTCTTYACTCARTACATGTGGGTACTATTGCTGCGGTAGCAGCTAGGCAGCYATRGCTGCCTTCTTCATCGTCAGAGTGACTCCTCGGCACTGGAGACTACTTCGCTGTTCATGATCTGCATCTGGGTGGATGGCGCTGGCCTCTGGGAGGCTGATGTTGTGCAGCGCTAGACTCTGAGAGTGTAGTAGTGAGTGGAGTGTGTGGTACTTGAGTGGCGAGACACTGGGTTRAACTCTGTAACGATTATTGGGGTTAACGGTGTTGAGTTGGCTCATCATCTGAGACACTTTCCGATTGTGATCTTCGCAGTTTCAATTGTGATTGGTTGTTGGGAGTTTATCAGAGAGAGAGAACACTGGGTGTGAATTCTCCCCATCTGTGCATGGTTGTTATTCCGCTGTTTATCTCTGGTGTGTGTGCAGGTGGACTCTGTCTCTTCCTCCCCCCTGACTTGTGCATGTATGGGCATGTGTAAGTTCTGTTGTGTGTGAGTGGCAATCCAATTGTCAAACAACCAAGTTCATAACAGACAAGGCGAAGGAGGAGACTGAAGAGAGAAGGGGGATTTGTCATTGATCTTGCCGGTGTAAATCTTCTTCTTCTTCGTCGTCCTTCTTTCTTCTCTTCCTTATTCTTTGGTCTCCATCTCTTTGCAAGTGCTTTCATTTCTTTACCAATTGGGAGGCATCGTCTTTCCTTGTGAATTTGCACTTCGGAAATAGCCAGGATCGTAACAGTTTAAATAATTTGGACCATTTCTCGATTTATGTGTGTCATTTTGGCGCAGGGGCAATCGTAATCTTCTCATTCCAAATTCAACAGATGTCCCGAAGGACAAATTAGAATGATTGCAATGACCCGCACAAATTGCTGTCTGAGGTTTCTGCAATTTCTGATAAAATGCTGTCCCTGTTATCTCCTTTCTGAGAATTCCAAGTCTGAGTCTTTTCTGCTGTGATTTGCTGTGTTTTCCATGCGTGTATGTGATGTACCACTAACATGCATGTGCCGTGTGCTTGCCTGAGTTCAAGTCTTGGTCCATGAACTAACTCTGTTGGCCATGTGTGTGCCTGTGCCTCAGACAGGGACAAGGTAGTGACAGAGAGTCCGCTAGGGGCAGGACTGAAAGTTAGGGGTAGGATATGTTGAAGGTAGTTCAGCACACAGGGACATAAGTAGAATTTAATGGGAGCGGTAGGGATTTTCGAGCAATTCCGTTGGGCCTGGGAAGGTATGGTAGCTTACCTGTAGGTAATGACTCTCCAGGCCTGAACGTAGGGCGGTAAGTAGCCTAGGTTCAGGGCCTGTATGGGGATTTCAAGCTGCAATGATGTTCCCGCCAAAAGGAGGGAACACCCGGTAGGCCTTGAGCACCCAAGTGAGGTGGGCAGAGGCAGGAAGCAGCCAGCTGCGAGGTACTGGAGGCCGGAGGCAGCAAAGTATATCAGGTACAATGAGAAGTTCGCTCATTCGCCCGGCAGTCATGCTGCTGCTCCGCCAAGAAGGAGAAGCTGTAGCAGTACCCCTGCGGCCCGGCAGTGAGGCTGGCCCAGTTTCAGGCCGTCGGCCTGATCCTGGACCGGTCGCTAATGGTTAACGGGGAACCCCATTTTTTTGGGTCAAGGTTTGGGTGTACCAAGTTTGGTCTCATTTGGAGCATTCGAATTTCCTCTGCTGAGATTTCTGAATTTCTCAAGATTTATTTATTTATTTATTTATTTTTTAAACAGGACCTTATGGTCCTGGCTCCTTCTATTCTGGGGAGCGTCAGTCCGGTTCCTATTCCACCGCCAAGTCAAATTATACATTACATCAATTACCAATCACACACGCTTCCTTCCGTCAGGCCAAAGGACCCCTGAGCAGCATTGATTGCTCCACCACGGGAGGATTAACTGTCAGCTTGCCTTGTCCCTCTCTTTCCTCTCAGACCCGGAATCCAGGTCTGTCAGATAATGCATTTGACCCTAGAAAGATCTCATCTGTTGTCCTTACCCAACCTKATCYTTCCCCATACACCACTTTGCCCCCCTTTGGAAGGTCAACCGTTTATCATTAAACCCTACACCCTCAGCCTGCATTCTTATCATCCGATCGTCAAAATTGGACCCTGGCAGGGTGTTCGTYAGCTTCCGGATCTCTGAGRTGGGATCATCCTTTGCGATCCCCGTTCATGCTCCAGAGTTATCAGACTTATTTCTCCTTTCTCCACGTTGTCTGTACCCCCTGGGTCGCTTGAGGATTATGTTTATCCTCTTGCGGCCTAAGATGTGGTTAAGCCTTCCAGCGTTGTCTGATGTTGGGAACCCCTTTCTGGAATTGAATCGTGCCAATCTTTCCAGCATACCCGGTCCTGTCGCAATTCTCCAACCTTGCCATCGACCAGCCAATTCCTATAGAATCTCTGCCTCTCCTTGTTCCGCTGTTCTTCGTCTTCTGTCCAGGCTCGTTTGATCTTCCGCCATCTGCAAAGGATCTCGGCTTGAATAATTGTATTAGTTTCTATCCACACTTTCCCCCGTGGGTTGGACCATCCTTCAATTGTTCGACTGCATCTCTCCTTCCATATGACCCATAGGGTCACTTTCCTGATGAGTTCAAACCAGATCCTCTCAGCCTTCCAAGCCTGATCAGGGATGTTAGTCAAGATGAGCAGTTGAATGGGTTGTTTGGGGAAGGGAGATGTGAAGAGGGAATCCCAGAGTGAAGAAGCTCTCGCCCAGTATTCGGTCGCCTCTTTACAGAGCACTAGGCAGTGGACTACGTCTTCTACCGAGCCTTCAGAACAGACTGTACATAATTCCGAGCTGTCTGGGTCTGTGGTTATCCGTCTAATGTGCAGCCATTGGTTCACCGGCAGGGCTGCGTATACAATCAGCCATTGCAAACTTCTAATCTTGATTGGTCTGATACGTTTGAATTTTTCCCAATGGATTCGTGTAATTTTGTCTGCTTCTTGACCCACGAGGTTCTGCCATCTGTTCTTGATGATTGGATCTGGATTTTTGGTCTTCAGAGACAGTCTGTACCCAAGTTTTACTGAGTAATCCTGGATTGGGATTTTTGACTTGAAGTTGCTGGTGGTATTTGGCTTCCAGGCCCACTCCGCTGGGTCGAACTCCAAGGATCGGATGGCAGTGTCCGGTCTGAAAATTGCCTTTAGCCATGTACCTAGGACCCTTACTTTTCTGAGGAGGAAGGAATCCAGTATAGATGTTTCTACATTGCAGTTGGAAATAACTGGCATATCCGTATTGGTGAAGGAGACCGGGAAGGAGAGGAAAATGGCTCTGGTGTGTGAGCCTTGCTGCATGTGAGAGAATTGATAGGCTCTAGTAGGGGATGTGTCTTGAATCATAAGACCCCATTCGCCCGGTCTCCACGACTCATCTTTTACCAGGACATCTTTCCACTCCTGAGGAATACGACTGAGTATGTATTGAAGATTGGTGTCTCGTCTGTG